GGGTCACATAGGTCCTGTTAGGCTCCCTGGCTGGGGACCTCGGGATGATCGTAACCGATGGTTAGATACACTGAGTGATATGGCTGGGTGTCGCAACCAGTGGCGTTCGTGCATCTTCTCAATCTTTTTGCAACCTTAAACCACTGAACTTTTCCATTTTCTTTACGACTCCACTTTCAAGTTTTCTTTCTTCTCCCATTCTTCATCCAAATGGGCAGCCAAAAGACAGCAACCAAAACCGGCGCACGAATATGCGTGGTTAATGGTTGTTCAAACTGAACTGATATATATATGTATCACATCGGCTAGCAGACAAACATGGTGCCAGAGCAGAAATGGTGCGAAGGGGTAAATATTAATGAAATTGAAATGAGGAGAACAGAACGGGGAGAATAAATGAATGAATTAATAATTTTTTGATAGTTTCACCGTACACTTTTTGATGCTTCTTGTCTGTTGACGGGAATGTGTATTTCCCATATTGATGCATGCTTGAAGTTTGCTGACAATACCTGATTGCACCCATCCTCTCACATTGACCTGTGTGCATGCAAATCCCACCACTCCACCCTTTCGAAGTACAAACTTATCCCGTTTCGCATATCTGCATACAGAAACTATTTGGTACCCTATCTTGACCGGATACTGACCGACAAGGAAAGTGGTCTTTCTGAGCTGTCTAATGCACTTGGTAATTAACTCATACCTTTCACGTCGCACTTTGCTACCTCTGTTTGCCAGAATTGTAGCGGTGTTCTATTTTTTTTTACTGAAAGCTTGTTTATAACTCGCTAAATCTTCAATACAGTAAAATACAGTACAACACAACGAGATTTCAAAAAAAGAAGCCGCAGAGCAATCGCGTGACCGACATTCATTCTTAGACATATCTCTCCGCGTCTGCACCAACCGAAGCCAATGTCGAGGCTCACTTTTTCATACCTCTAAGACTGGTCATGATCTAACCACTGTGGCATTTCTTCGAGCCTTGCTTAATAAGTGCAAGCAGAGCGTAGAGAGGTAGACGTTAGCATACGCAAAATGTGACCGAGCCATCGAAGGCGTTGTAGAGTGATTACTTACTTTAGAGAACGGCTATCAGTACCCAACACGCGATTACGACTTTCACCCTTGCTCAGACGGTGTTCCCACCAGACAACAAATGCTTCGAAGGCATCGGTGGTCAAATACAGAAAATCCATTAGCATCCTCAGCTAAAAGAGGCTAGGTTTTGCAACCGTAAAGCAGAGAACTGCAAATCACGGCGATGTACACCCTCCCCTAACGCTACAGTCGGATGTCATGGCGATGCCACAGGGGTCGCAGGTTGGTAATAGCTGTCCTAGCTTTCGTTAATAGCGATGTGATCTCTTCCCCAACACCACCTCCAGCTGTGATTAAGCTCTCGAGGTACTTAAAGCTCTCGACCACTTCTGTCTGAACCGGGAGAACAAATGAATGATTGACGAATGAAGCTAATGCAGTCAAGAAGCTAACTCCACCCAATCTGTCTCGATCCGCCCATCTTTGGACCCGACATGCTTACTATGGCATGTTAGTCTTGCGCTTTTCCCGTTATAGCCATACTTAGGTGTGACTACTCAGGGATTTCATTTGGTTTGCCTAATTCTCAGGGACACCACTTCTCAGTGAGCACTTTATGAAGCTATTGTATCAAGCGCCAAAGGTTGCACAGATGTTAACAAACACAACGACCTACCTGTGACGAGTGTAGCGCCGTTCAATGTGCAAGCGAAAAGTAAATATCCGAGTAATGCTGTCGTGACTTTTTATAACACACCTTAGTGTGATAAACAGCTGATGGGGTAAGCTCCATAGCCACGAAAACCTGGTGTTTAGTAATTGAAACCGGTAACCTAAGCCTCACCGGAACGACCTTCGACTCTATCGATCGCTCCGCACTGTGGAACTGTTTGCGGAGATATGGAGAGCCCGAGAGGTATTTTTTACTCCTAAAGGCGCTCTATCGCCAGAACTCGGAGAAGGTTAGAGACTATGGTGAACTTTCACCCTCATTTCCTGTCAGCAATGGGATGCGACACGGTTGGCGTATCTCCATTGCTCTTAATCTTCTTCTTCCTAATCTTCTACAAAACGCGTTACATAATGTCACGAACGCTGGCGATGAGCTTCTTCCTGGAGACAGAGTCGTAGACTTGAAATATGCCGATTATATTGCCTTACTGAGTGACAACGCACCAACGATCCAAGAGTCGTTGAATCGTTTGGCAATTGAGGTCACTCCCTTTGGTATGTCGTTTGTCCGTTCAAAGTGCAAAGTGTTGCTGCGAGATTGCCTGGAACCCGTTCCTTCACTTTCGTTGGGTAATGACTCCCTGGAAGTAGTCGAAAACCTTGTCTACTTCGGGAGTTGCACAACGGCTGGCAGAGGTGTGGGCGAAGAGATCTCTCAACATGTCAAATCTAAATGAGCGTTTTGCTGATCTGCGGCATCTTTGTCGCCGGCGCGACATATCCCTTTCACTGAAAGAGCGTGTTGGTTGCGTAACGGTACGCACTGTATAGCTGCGAAACCTGGTCTCTCCAAGCAGATCACGTCCAGCGACTATCTTTCTTCGATGACTGTTGTCTGCGCAGCATCGCCCGCGTATGGTGAAAGTGTTGCGTAAATAAAGATGAAGTCAGACGACGTGTGTTATGATCGGATAGTCTTCCGTTGAGCAAAACCATTTCATTGCATCATCCTAGGTGGCTAATGCACGCCCTGCGAATGCTTGAGCAACGTCTGCCACACCATGCACTATTCACAGACATCGGCCCAGACTGGAAGAAACATTGAGTTGAACAGACTATGACGTGGCGCAGAGGGTTAAAGAGATTGTACTCGGATCTGGCTTCCGTTGGGACTTCCCGGCTTGGACCCCAAAGATTAAGATTGCCTTTGGCTGGAGACTGCGGGATATGACATCGAACCGAAGTCAGTGGCGTGAATACACCCTTTCCTGCGTACGATCCCAAAAATAAACAAAAAACAAAAAAAGAACCCAAAACGGTGTGCAGTAAATAAACAAAAATTTGTTATTGCCCCAAGTTGATTACTACTTTTTCCATTTTTGTTTCTGTTTTTCGTTCACCCATAGTTGTTTTGGCACCGTATCTGTATAGATTGATGTCAATTATATATATATATATATATATATATATATATATATATATA